TTTTTCAGCAATCTCTTTGCTGGTGTAGAGGAATCCAACTGATTTTTGGATGTTGATCTTATATCCTGCCGCTATGCTAAATCTCTCCATTAGTCCAGTAGTTTTTTGTACTGAGTCTCTTAGGTTTTCTAGGTATAGGATCATATCATCAGCAAATAGGGATAGTTTTACTTCTTCCTTACCTATCTGGATGCCTTTTGATCAGGTTACCTAATGCTGTTCTGACAAGAATGTACCACAAATGGGATGGTCTTAACAAATAGGAGTTTATACTATTTGGAGGCTTTCAGTCTGAGTTCAAAGTTCCAGGCTCTAACGGCTAGGTGGAAGGCCCTCAACCTTGGCTTTCAGCTCTGCCTCCTGCTCCCAGCCCTCTGAAGCTGGAGGTTTTTCTTCACTGAGCTGCTGGCTGCTGAAGCTGACAAGCCCAAGGTTGACAAGTAAAAAGGCACAATCCTGATGTTACCAAACCACATGTCAGGCCATTAATTCAAGTTCATTAAAGGTACCAAGGTCAGCAGAGCATGGCAGGCTGCTGAACAACAACTCAGGTACATGCAAGGTTCAAGCATGCCATAAGCTAGAGACCATTCCCCAAGGCTTCTCCTTATATACAGGAAGCAGACCATACCCCTAAGGCAGCTACTCAGCTGCTCACAGTAGATTCCACCATGGAGTTTATTACCAGTCTCATCATGGGAAATACTACATCCAGCTGCCCAACCACTCAACCAGGCCCAGCCAAGTTGACACACAAACTTAACTACCACATCTTTGATTTCCTTTTCTTGCCTTATTGCCCTAAGACTTCCAATACAATGTTGAATAGAAGTAGTGATAGAGGGCATTCTTGTCTGGTTCCTGTTTGCAGGGGGAATGGTTTCAGTCTCTCTCCATTGAGAATAATGTTGGCTGTTGGTTTTGCCCTTTACTATGTTGAAGAATATCCCTTCTATTCCTATTTTGCTGAGAGTTTTGATCAGGAATGGGTGTTGGGTTTTATCAAATGCCTTTTCTGTGTCGATTTATATGATCATGTGGTTCTTTTCCTTTGTTTTATTTCTGTGATGGATGACATTGATTGTTTTCTGAATGTTGAACCATCCTTGCATACTGATATG